ACCCGGAACCCCGGAACCCCGGGACCCCGGAGGGCGGTGGGGAGCAGTGAAAGCATCTTCTTTGCGATTTGCTGCGTGTAACTCATCTCCCCCAGCCCACTCCCGCGGCTCTGTGAGTAAAGGCACTTCTCCGTTCCCACTTATCGATGGGCTCCCTGGCTTGAAGCCAAGAGCCTTGCTCGAGGTCCCCTGCCAAGAAAGCGGCAGAGCCCACCTCAGAGCCAGGCCCGCCTCCGCCGTCCGTGTGCAGCCCCAGCCGTCTGTGACTGGGCGCATGCGCCTGGGGAAGCCCGGGGGCTCGCTAGACCCTTTCTGCCCAGCTCCCTGCCTCCCCCATCAGTGGCGTGGGCTGGCTTGCCACCCTTAATGCCACCCTGTTCAGCCCTGTCGGGATTCTGAGTGAGGTCTCCACTCAGTCTGAAAATAGAGATAGATAAGGCAAAAGTTACATTAATAAAATATCAGGGCATGTGGAAAGCAAAGGCAAGTACATTCAATGTGGTGAGAGTCTCTTAGACTCATTTAGCCTATGGTTTAATAGATGTGGAAACAGGTTCAGAGGCCTTAAGTAACTGACCTAGGTTTACAGAGTTTGTGGGTGGAGCAGCGATTTCAACCGAGGTTTGTCTACTTTCCAAACCTATGTGCTTCATATGCTTCCCTTTTTTCAAAAATTAATGAGCTAAATTTCTACTTATATGGCGGCTGCATTGTGTAGACCAGTTGTTCTCAGTGGGCCCCAGATTAGCAACATCAGCCAACTGAGAACCTGTTAGAAATGCACATTCTTGGGCCCCACCTCAGACCCTCTGAGTTAGAAACTGGGAGTGGGGTCCAGCAATGTAGTTTAACAAGTCCTCCAGGTGATTCTGATGAACACTAATGTTTGAGATCTACTGGTGATTCACTCAGGGGTTATGTTAAAATGCAGATTCTTTCGGAAGGACTTGGAAGAGACTGGAGATTCTGCATTTCTAACAAATGCCTGGGTAATGCTGGTGCACAGACCGTACATTGAGTAGCAAGGGTATAAACTACACCTTAGAGTAGTGGTTCTCAAATTTGGATGCACATTAGAATTACCTGGGGTGCTTTTAAAAAATAGGACACCTGGGCCCCACCCCTGTCCAAGTGAATCAGAACCTCTGGGGTGTGGTCACCATGTAAAAACCCACTGGGTGATTCTAACATACAGTGAGGGCTCAGAACCCGTGGTGTAAGTTTTGGAGTGGGGCAGCCATGGATTTGAATCCTAGCACTTCCATTTATGAACTATTTGTTTGACCTTGGGCAAGTGACTTAACCTCTCCTGGCTATATTCTCCTCGTTTATAAATGAATATAGCCTGGCCGGTGTGGTTTAGTGGTTGATTGTGGACCCATGAACCAGGAGATCACAGTTTGATTCCCCATCAGGGCACAGGCTGGGGTTGCAGGCTCCATCCCCAGTAGGGGGCGCGCAGGAGGCAGCCAATCAGTGATTCTCATCATTGATGTTTCTCTCTCTCCCTCTCCCTCTCTGAAATCAATAAAAACATATTTTAAAATAAAGTAAAATTAAATGAATATAAGTAATCCTTGGCTTGCAAGGTGGTGCAAGGATTCTATGAGGTGTGTACATGAAGTACCTGGCTCATAAGGGTGGTCCAAACTCAAAAATTGGGGAGGTAAGCAAACTTGGGGAAGTCTGTGCTGGGGATTTTGCAGTATAACCTGGTGGAGGTGAGTTGGCAACTGCATCCCCTAGCCTGCTAATGCTCCCATCTGTGTGTTCCTCCAGCAAGCAGCCAGCAGTGTGGGAAAATGGCGATGAGCCACTCGATGAAGGAACGAACAATCTCGGAGAACAGCCTGATCATCCTGCTGCAGGGCCTCCAAGGCCAAGTAACCACTGTGGACCTGCGGGATGAGAGTGTGGCCCATGGACGCATAGACAACGTCGATGCTTTCATGAACATCCGCCTAGCCAACGTCACCTACACAGACCGTTGGGGGCATCAGGCTGAGCTGGATGACCTCTTTGTAACAGGCCGTAATGTCCGTTACGTCCACATCCCAGATGACATGAACATCACCAAGACCATTGAGCAGCAGCTGCAGATCATCCATCGTGTGCGCAACTTTGGCAGCCTGGGGCAAGGCCGGCGGGAATTTCCCACCAAAAAGCATAAATGAGCCTGTCCATTCAGCAGCCCTAGTCACCACTCAGGTTCCTCCAGAGTTCTACTGAGCCAACTGCCTGCTATTCCTTCCTGTCTAGAACTTGGGAAGGGAGCAAGGCCAGTCCAGAAACTGGTATCTGACAGACACCACCTATCACAGCTGCCTTTCACAGGGTTCCACCTCCCAGATTCACCCTGGAACCCAGAGTCCTATTTATCTGCGGCCTTGGGGTAGATGACAATCCTCTCTTCTGATCATTTGCATCTGAATTTCTGATATACTGATTTAGGGAATCTGTCAAGTAGTTTTCAGCCCTCTCCCAGTGAGGATTATTAAATATACTCAGCCTCAGCCACCTCTAAGTGTCCCCATTTCTCTTGCAATTGTGTCTGTTTTCTCATAAAGTTTAACTTGGATACAAACAACTGTGTGCCTCATGCTTTCCCTGATGAGTGTGGGCTACCTGTTGGCCCAGTTTCCTAAGGTGCTGGGTCTCAAACTTGGCTGCACATTGGCATCACCTGTCCCACCCTCACCTATTCGGATTTCATTGGTATGGGGATATGGCCTGGGCATTGGATTTTTGTAAGTTCCTCATGCTGTACTAATATGCAGCAAAGTTTGAGAATTGTAACAGAGTCTTTCGGTCTGGTTAGAAAGTAGCTTTTCTATTCAGATTCCCTGTTAAGGGGGCTATTAGTCTCATTGCTGTTTCCTGAGGTGCAGAGGTTGGAGTAATCCTGGGCCCTCCCCTCAAGTGTGGGAACTCATCCAACAGCATGAAATCAGGCTCCAATTCTGAGTCCCTGGGCCCTCAGGGAAGAAGGGGTTCTGGAAGTTAGAACCCAAGTCCTCGTTGTTGCCTTGCAGCCATACCAGCCCTCCCACAGACAAACAACCATCTCAGTTAAAGCAACTCTGTCCTTTGGAACTAGAGGGTTTGTCTTCATCAAACAAATACATAGAGCAGCTGCCATGGGCCAGGACTTATGCTGAGCACACACTGACAATAAGATGTGGTCCTTTCAGGAAAGAGGCTTCTAATTAGTAGAAGAAGTGATGGAGAACCACAAAAATGAAGTCCAGCTTGAGAACTGCTCTCCCAGAGTTTTGAATAAGGCAGGGCCCCTTCATGCTAAGATGATGTCATTTCTTGAGGGAGATTTGAGAGGATCATTCATTTGGGCACTAGCCGCCCAAGGTCATTGCATCCTATTCCAGCACAGTCTTCATCAAAGTGTTGTCCTTGGACCACCTCATCAGAACCAACTGGGAACCAGAATCAGACCTGGGACTCTGTATTATTATTTAAATTTAAGAAGGAGCCTGCCATTTAAAGAGCCAGGTATACACCATGAGGCTTCTGATATTGCATTTATTTCATGGTGGCCCAGAGGTCCTGGAAGCTGCTTAGACGCTGCCCTTTGCCTTCATGAGAGAACAGTGGATCCCAGCAGGGAGAAAAGAACTCTGAGTTCCCAGGCGCCTCTGCCAGCCAGAGTTAAGGGAGCAACACCACAAGGTGACTGCTGGTAAGAAAAAGCACAGGGCAGGCACGGAAGGGAGGGCCGAAAATGCTATACTCACAGCCAGTGGGAAGAAAACCACCCAGTCTGGAATGAAGAACTGGTGCCAAAGCATGGGAAGGGTAGTCTGAAATGGTGGTGACCCAGTCACACTAGCATCCACTAAGATGTCCTGTCTTGTTCTGGCCTTTTGTATTCTTTTTTTCTCCTTTTTAAACTATCTTTATTGATTTCAGAGAGAGGAAGGGAGAGGGAGAGGGAGAAAGAGAAACATCAACCATGAGAGAGTCGTTGATCGGCTGCCCCCTGCAGTCCCCCTACTGAGGACCAAGCCTGCAACCCAGGCATGTGCCCTGACGAGGAATCGAACCTCAACCTCCTGGATCCTAGGTCAATGCTCAAATGCTGAGCCACACCCGGCCGGGCTGGCCTTTTGTTTTCGATCCACTCAGGTTGCATAGGTCCATGAAGGTTTTGTTCTGGTGTTTTGTCATCAGCCCTCTTGAGTTGCTATGGAGTTGCTTCTCCCTGACCAGAAGACCTCCTGACCACCCCTTCAAGTGTAACCCATCCCCCTCTCAATGTTCAGATTTTTATCCCACTTTTCCCAGGCCTATCAGGCCCAGATTCTTAGGGTCTCGGGTGAGTTAGGCCCTGTTTGCCCAAATGCAGCACACAGCTGTTTCTTCAGAGGGTTTTGTTACTTGTTGGCACTCCACCAGAAAAAGGAGCACAACTTTCCAGTCTCTGAGACTCAGCTAGTAGCCTCCAGCTCCAAGGCTGCAGAGAATCTTTATTCTCAGGGACTGCTGCCCCCAAGTCAGTCTCCCAGATCCCCTGTTACACAGTTTTCTAAATTTGTATCTGCTCAGAAATTCTTTCCATTCCTCCCTGAAGGCTAGGCCTTTAGAATTCAGAAGCTAAAAATGAACTCTGCATTCTGTCGTATCATTTGTTTTCTGATGTAAGAAATGCAAATTAACCTAACTATCTGCATAAAGGAAAGGCCTGGGGACATCAAGGAAAAGATTAAAAACCTATTTCAAATGTCATCACCCCATCGGACTTTGGGTTTTGTGCTGTGCATGTTATGGCCTTTGTTCAGGCCTGAATGTACATCAATGTGGGGGTTCCTCGTAGATGACTGAGCCCTCAGGAATTCTCGGTGCTCAGGTGGTATGGCATGTCCCCTCCCTCCCCTCCTGCTCCTGGAGAGAAGAGCACAGGGGTCCCTCAGTTTCACATCTTNTGGCATGTCCCCTCCCTCCCCTCCTGCTCCTGGAGAGAAGAGCACAGGGGTCCCTCAGTTTCGGGAGGAGACTACTGCCGGGGCTCTGAAGAGAGCTGGGTAGGCAGGCAGCCTGAAATTCACATCTTCCCGATACAGCAGCTCCAGTTCTCAGCTGGATGGGACTTGAAGGGACTTGAAGGAGAACATCCAGTTCAGTGAGTTCAAGTCTGGGATCCCTGGCTAAAGGATCCCTGAGGGCAGTCAGGGTCCCTTGAGTTCTTATCAATGTTCCAGAAGAACCCAGAAGGATCCAGAAGCACTGAGTACGTGAAAGGTAACCAAGATAGCTTGGTCTCTGCTTTGGGCTGGAATTACACCAACGGTATGGTGGTCACCCTGGCTAGCTCTTCCTGACCACAAGCTCTAATGGCTATGATACAAGGCTTTAATCAATAAAAAGGGAGACAAAATCTTACCAAATGTGAGGCTTGTGTGGAGGGAAAATACTAAAAGAAGCTTTGAAGGTGAGAAGGTTGGGAACCACTGATCCTGTCTAACTCTGTCAATTTTTGTGTGTGTGTGGTGGAGGCTCAATATAGCTTTACTTTATTATTTTATTTTAAAGAATCTAAACTTGCCCAGCCAGCATGGCTCAGTGGTTGAGCATCGACCTATGAACCAAGAGGTCACTATTAGATTCCCAGTCAGGGAACATGCCCGGGTTCTATGCTCTATCCCCAGTAGGGGGTGTGCAGGAGGCAGCCGATCAATGACTCTCTCATCATTCATGTTTCTATCTCTCTCCCTCTACCTTCCTCTCTCTGAAATCAATAAAGATATATTTTTTAAAAAGAGAGAGAGAAAATAAAAGCCTAAACTTAACAGTAGCCATGAACAAGTACTACAGAAGAAAACAGCATTAAAAGATTAACTGTATTTTCTAGGTTCAAATGTACAACAGCAGTCATTCACATTCCTGAGGCTCTACTATGTTAACTCTGACCCTGTTACCCACAGTTGTAGGTGGGAAACTCACTTTCTATTTCCTCTAGGTAACTACCATTTTATAGTTGAGGAAACAGGCCCAGTTTCCTCAGGGGGGAGGGGAAGGGACTCTCCTCAGGTCCCATGATTAAGTTAATGGCTGAATGCCAAGATGGTGATCATAAGTAGCTACCGCTTGTTGAGTCTCACTGTGTGCCAGGCCCTCTGCCAGGGCCCTACATGCTCCAGAAGGGCAGAGTCTGTTTGATCCCCCTGGATCTCCAATATCTAGCTCAGTGCTCTGCACCTAACAAGCCCTCCATAAATCATTGTGGAATAAAAGGATCATCTCATTTCATCATTATAACAATCCTGGAGGTATATATTTATAGACCCATTTTACAGATGAGCAAACAGACCCAGAGAGGTTAAGTGACTTGCTCAAAGTTGAAGAGCCAGTGAACCGCAGAGGGGGGATTTGAACTCAGGTCTGTATGACTCAAACTCCATGATACTATACTACATTATTCTGCTTCCCAGCACTCCTGACATCACACTGATGACAGTGTGTTGCTCATCCCAGTGGTGGTACCCAGTCACCAAGTGTGGGCCTGGCACTCAAAACTTGCCATACCCAGGCCTTGGGGCTTGGCCACAAGGAAAAGCCAGAAGCCAGCCAGTAAGAAGGATTTGCTGGGTTTAAGAAGGCTGAGTAAGCTCATCAGGGTTGAAGGTCTCCTCCTTTCCTTCTGTGTTAGGCAGACCTGCCTGTATCTCATCAAGTGATCATCTCATGCTATCGTGTCAGGCGTCACTTTGTTTTGGGAGCGTTGTCTGCCAGTATGCCCAGAGTTGGAGAACCAGCAGGAGAGTATGTCACCGTGTGTGTGTGTGTGTGTGTGTGTGTGTGTGTGTGTGTGTGTGGCACAGTAGTCTCGTGTTGGTATCCTGATGACAATTTTTCATTTCCTGTGGCTGGCACCTTTAGTTTCTATTCATTACCTCTTCGCCTCCCCACTTTCCCTTCTTCCTTCTCTCCTTTGTTAAAATACTATATTTTGAATCAGCTGAGAGTCTCCTGGGGGTGGGGATAGTGGTGTCAGCTCCTAGTGATTCATCTACCTGATAATTAGAGCTCTGGAAAACCCAAAACTCATTCCTGTCAGAGTCAGGGCTTCCGGAATCCCGAGGCTTTTCCCTTTGTCAGAGAGGAGGGCTTTGGGGGCAGGGGCCTGGCTCCTCTGAGCCTGACTTTCTGCCATCCACTTCATCAGAGCTCTGTAACCGAGGGGAGTATAAGCACGCTTGCTCGCCAGGTCCTGTGAGAGGCCGTTTCCACACTCACTGAATACTCACAGTGACCCCACGAAGTGTTATCCCCATTTTGACAGATGGGGAACTTACACTCATCACTCAGCTTGTAAGGAGAGCAGTGAGGATTCAAATCCAATCTTTTCAGAATCTGCCAGAGTTGGTTCAGATCACAGCCCTGCCATTATAAGCCGTGTGTCTTTGGACAGGTTGCTTCCCGTCTCAGAGATCCAGATTCTTCACCTGTAAATAGATTCCTAACCTGTCTCTAAAGTGCTTAACGCAGGTGGTGACACACAGGGGAAGCTGTTTGTGTGTGGTTTTTTTAATATAGCTTTATTGATTTCAGAAAGAGGGAGAGAGAGAGAGA